TGAATGGAGAGACGAGAAGCCACCGGATGGTCAAGCCATGGTGAGACAGGTTTGGTTGTGGTCGAGAACTTTTCAAAGATGCTCAATAAACAATCGCTTGTTCTGTTCTGCATACTTTGGCAGCGGAGTCTGTTGGCACGCTTCACAGCCTTGGCTGTCAGGCTTGTCCTTCTGCGCAAACCCTGCCAAAATTCTGGGCTTGGGCCACCCTTGCACCCACGGCCGCCAATCCAAAGCCATGCGGTTCATGAAGCACTCTTGCCTCCCACACTCGCTTGGCAGCGTCTCGGAGCAGTTTCTTGTCTTGAGGGGCCTTCGGTGGCCGCGCTGCTCGAGCCCCCTGTGACTTGATGGTTAGCTGGTTCACTTTTGAAGGCATAAGCCTTACAAGCATAGGTCCCCCCTCACAGTTTCAGAAGCGCGCTTTCAAGAGCTCGTCGACTTTCCAGATTGTTCGCAGGTGCCAGGGCTACAGCCCCAGCATCCCCGCAGATCCGCATCCTGGTACGGCGCTCAGGGCTCGGTCCGGGCCGAGCATTCGGCTCAAGGCAGATCCAGCTGCGCAAACCTTGCGTAAGCTAGGCTGGCCATGCATCAAATGATTGCGCTCAGACCATGACACAAAGATTCTCAGTTATATGTTACATCCAACAATGGAACCGGGACGACCCAATACTGGAGTTGTGACCAAAGCACTTGACATGATTTCAATGTGGACGAATTGGTCAAGCTGTGCTCGAACCGCCTGCACTCATACTACAGCGGAAAATGACTGTGCATCTTGGCAACCGGCGTAGCCCATGTCAGATATGCATGTTGCTGCCGTGACAACCCATACAACCTCCCTGTGTTGTTGTTCCTTCTCGCTTCCCAGCCTCAGTCTGAAGCCTGAAGCGGAAGCTGGTAGAGCAAGCTGAACACCGTGCTATGTTCTTGCTATAGGACAGCTGCGGGACAAGGTCAATCACAGTTGCATTTCAAGGCTGTCCCTCGAGTTTGCCCTTTGAAACCTCTTGGGCAAAGACCCTTCTTGTAGTTTCCCTTGCCCACCCGCAGTCTATTGAAGCATTGTGACAGGTCAGACCGGCAGACGAGCCCGCACCTGTGCGAGATTTGCGAGAAGCACCGCAAGAGCACTCGCGGGAAGCTGGGCGAGCGCCTGCGCGAGGCAGACGAGCCCGCACCTGTGCGAGATTTGCGAGAAGCACCGCAAGAGCACTCGCGGGAAGCTGGGCGAGCGCCTGCGCGAGAAGCGCCGCGGTCGGTGCCTCAGGATGCTTTGATGGGATGTCAGGAAATGTTGCCCCAGATTTGGGATGTCCGTGTTGCACGTGTCGTGTCTCGCTGTCAGTTCAGCAGATTCTGAGGAATCCCGAGGCGCAGGAAGATCCGTGGTTTGCAGGCATGGGCTGTGGAGATGCAGGATGGGCATTGCAAGAAAAGACGCATGGGGTTGGACGCTTGAAACAGTGCGCCCCGCCGTCACAGACGTGATGTGAAGTTGACAAGGCTCCGGTTTTTTTTGGCGGGGGGAGGGTGGGAACCGTTTTTCTTTTTTTGCCAGCCCCGGCTCGGGGCTTAGCCCCGGTCAGGGTTGGTTGGTCGGTTGGTCGGTTGGTCGGTTGGTCGGTTGGTCGGTTGGTTGGTCGGTTGGGCGGTTGGTTGGTCGGTTGGGCGGCCGCATCCCCAGCATCTCCAGTTACTTGGTACCAGGGCTGCGTATTAACCGGCCGCATGCACAGCAAGACCGGCCTCACTCGGATTCTGGCTGCCTATTGGCTTTGATTTGGTGGCAATTCAGAGTTGCTCGAGGCTGGTTTCGGGTCAGTGTTGGGCTTACTGAGGTCTTATATAATGAGGGTGGGTCTTGGGTTTGTTTGGGGTTCATTTAGGTGTGGTAAAGGGAAATTTTCAGGACGCTGTTAGGAGGGTTTACGGTTGAATTTGAGTTTGGGTTGGCTTGGAGCTGATTTGCGCGAGGTGTGCGGCCCGGCTTTTGCGGTAGCTTTTGGGCTGCTTCAGGGCGTGGTTGTGCAGTTTTGGGGCGTTGCCCCAAACCACCCAAACCAGCCCAAAACTTGCGCAACCACATCCCTAAAGCAGCCCAAAAGCTACTGCAGAAACGAGCCGTGCAACTCGCGCGAAACAGCCCCAAGCCAACCCAAACCGACTCAAAGTCAACCTTAAACTCTACCAACAGCATCCTGGATGTCAGCCCTTTACCAAACCTAAATGAACCCCAAGCAAACCCAAGAGACCTCAACAAGCCCAACACTGACCCGACACCATCCCCGAGCAGCTCTGAACTGCCACCATATCAAAGTCAATAGGCAGCCCTGGTCCGAACCGGTTGCCCCCAACCTGAGAGCGAAGCAAGGTTCCAGCCAGCCTCTTTAGAGCCACATGAAGGAGGCCTTGTGCTGAGCCGGGGCTAGTAAGCAGCCGGGGCTAGTAAAAAGCAACCACCTCAACCGGAAGGGTGTTCAGATGGGAAGAGCCGTGCGCTCATAGGGAGAAAACAGCAGCAATTGCTTCCAAATAATCAGCCCCAAGTCTCAGCAGCCCACAAAGTGTTAGTAAGTTCCAACCAGCAGTCACCGAACACATGTGCTTCCGCACAGCCCACCAGTGAAACTACATTTGAGCGGCGGTTTTTTTACCCGCAAGCTAATTTAGTGGGGAGAGGGACATTATTATTGAAAATGTGCGCCGCGCCACACGCGCGGAAGCATGCGGAAGGCTCGCGGAAGAGATTTGTTCGCGGAAGGTTTGTGGAAGCTTGGTGGCTGATATACAACTAAATGTTTCAGTGCGTGCATGGAAAAGCTCGGAGAAACAATTCCAGTAGAAGAAAAGGTGTTGCTGCGCACAAGAAACGTAACGCTTACTCGAAGAGCAGATGCCAACAGCAGCCAAGAAGGCCACAACAGCCGGCGTACTTCGCGGAAGGTTTGCGGAAGCTTCGCGGAAGCTCCGCGGAAGGGTGGCACCGTGTTTGCAGGCAAGCGGCCAAGTAGCATGGGTAGCCCAATGGAGCCCAAGCCAACACAAGCTGCGGCGGAACACTACCTCACTTAAAATGACTTTCCTTTCTGCGCCAATGCTCGCGGAAGCAAAACTTGTAAACCATGCCCCGCGGAAGGTTTGCGGAAGCAAACAATGAAACACATGTGCCGCGGAAGTTCGCGGAAGGGACCTCTTGGCCCGCGGCAAGGATGCGGAAGGGTCCGCGGAAGCTTGAGTAATGTCCAAGCAAGTTTGTAGGGAATAAAAACCAACGCTCATTTGCGCAAAATTGCACTGCTCTCTGTGCAAGAAATATACCTCACTTAGCTCTACAGGATATGAGGGAAAGCTTGAACAACGAAATAGGGACCCTTCAAAAACGAGCACATGTACTGCTCAGTTCGGCAGCCGCTGCTGTCAAGACCGGTCATTGCCAGCTCTCCGACCGCTATTCCCCCTACTGATCTCCAGTTCAGCTGGGCCACCAAGGGCCGCGGCTCTGCGCTTGCCAGGCTTGGACCCGTGGAGTACCGGGAGGACGGTCAAGGAGGAGAGGCCACCAGGCGGCGCGTGCAGAAGCAGAGAGCTGAGCATGGGAACAACACTGGCGCTACGTGCACACAATCGCTTCTTCAATGTGTTTGTGTGTGTGTGTGTGTGTTGCTTCTGTGTCGCTTTTGCGTTGACCTTAATCTTTCTGGAATAAAACGGCAAGCACACCATTTTCTTTGTTAGCACTTTGTCGCACGGTCAAGTCGAAGACGGAGTGGCCACATGATAGCTGACAGCTCGAGGCAAAGTGAGGGAAGGAAAGGGAGCCAAGAACCGCCCGGCAGCTAGCGAGGTTGGGCCGAGCATGGCAAGCCACTAATAGTTCGGTGAGTTCGGGGTAGCCAAGGCTTTCGGCCCCAAAGCTGCAGCTTGAGGGAAGGGGCTTCACGATGCCTTACAAAAGAAAATAGTTCCCGCAGGTCTCCAATTGCAATCCCAAGAGTTTGAGAGTTTGGTTGCACCCCACAAGCCCTTGGCCAAAAAACTCAGACAAAAAGAGCAAGAGAAGCAAACTGGCGGCGGTTCATCCTGCCAATTTATGGGGCCACGCGCTCAGGCCGAAGCCGGCGAGGTTAGCGCGGTGCAAAAGAGTGAGCAGTTTGTTTCAACATCGACATGGATCCTTCCCATGAAGAGGCTGAGGCCAAGAAGCCATCCAACACATGCGCACAACTTCAATATACTTCAATCCATTGGAAGTTTTCTCCATTTGGTGAAGGCATTTTCCAAGACTGCAACCCAGTGCAAGACTTGAAGATCGACCAGCAATCTTCCCATGCCGTTACCCAGATGATATCGGATGATATCAGCTTGAAGGCGACAAGTCAATGCGTTTCTTTCGCAGCGTGCAGCTCAAACGGGGAGATGCACATGGTTTCACATGCTCAGTGATCGGAGAAGTGGGATGGGCAATGACGGTGACGGTAGGTGGCCTTGCTGCATTTGAGCTGTTGCATCCTTCGGTCCCTAATTATTTCGTAGCCTCTGGGGTAAGGGTGGATGCCCAGCTTGAATGTGGAATTGGCAGGTTCGGTTGACTATGTTGACTTGACAGTGTGACTTTCTGTGGCTGTACACTAGTGAATTTCCTGTCACTCAGTGCGCTGTCGCAATTTTTCCACATGGGGAATCGGCCATTGGCGCCGAGGCAAACGGCTCAGCGTACAAATTGCCTGTGGCTGAGTGTGGGCGATCCTTGCGTGAATTTTGCAGTGTTGCAGCTCCGTGCTTAAATTGGATTTCCAGAGTGCATCAGAAAAGACTAGACCGGAGACATTCTAGATCCAAACGCTTTCCTTTTAGGGAGTGTGAAGCGCGGGCATTCAAGTGATATGCGGTCATGGCAAGGTTTGCCGCTGTTTTGCTTCAGGTGCCCGGCGAGCCGTCAGAGTCAGACGAGCACGAGGAGAAGGAGCAGGCACTTCCCATTCCTCGCTCAAGAG